TTTTTTGGCAGAACCAGGGATTGAACTCAGGCCCTTGCACTTGCCAGGAAAGCATTTATTCTACTGAGCCATCTCCCCAGCCCCCAACATTTAGTTTCTGTTCTTGACCTCCACATCAGATGATAAACATGACCCTAACATCATTTCTGGAATCATAAAATGAATCAAGTTTGTGATCCAAGCCCCCACTGTAGTAACTTCAGAAGACTCTCACAAGTATGACATCACACTAAGGCTGAACTTAGAGCTCACCTATGGTCTTTTGAGCTCTGGTGCCTACCTGTGAGGCTTGGTTGAGATTAGGTGGAAAAGCATATCTAACCTGTTAATTATAAAATCCCAGGCCAAGTTTACAGAACATTTCCCCAAGTCCTGCACATGCATTTCTCCCAAAGGCTTAAGCAAGTTTCTGGTAGGATGGCTGACACCTGACACCAGCCTCAGGAATGGGAGCCAGAGAGAACAGTCACCACCAAGCACTTGTGGAAAACATCATTGTGGACCACCAGTCAGCAGCAGGTCTAAATGGGGCTTGAAGTGGCCATGGCTGACAGTGATAGTCTGTTGAGCCTTTTGCAGGTCCCTATCAGTGAGCCACAGCACAGATCCCTAGGGTTTTGGAACAAAGCCTGCCACCCTCTCCTTCTTCACTGTGAGAAAACAAACTTTTGACTTGCTGTTGTGTCTGTGGAGATGGAAGTCTTTTTCACCACAGACCACTAAGTTGCCGTGACCTGAGCTGCCCATCATAAACTGTTAGCTGAGCCATCAAGCCCTACAGCTGGTGTGCCCCGGTAGTACTCTGTCATTGAAGAGAAGTGGAGTGCCAGGTGGACTCATGCAGGAAATTACTGTGGGATCCAGGCCCTTCAAAGGTTACAAAGAGTGGCTAATGCTCACAGTCTCCACTCCACTAGTATCACCTTATTCCCCAGGCGACCACACACACAGGCCAGGAGAAAAATACTTTGGGTTTATATGAGTAAGAGTCTCATTAATTGTAATTCCTTCTTTGAAAATTCTTAGTTAAAACTTGTGATATAATCCCCAAATCCAGAAATGACTGTAGTAAGCTATTTCTTGGTTGCAAATCTGTGTAATGATTTTACATAGCTGAGATGCATGTATCTCAAACCATTCTTCACTGAACAGACCTTGGCTATTTCTTACAAAGGGTGCAATTGGGGCTCCTCATTGTAAAATTTTTCCCAATTAAAGCGAACTTCTTCTAACTAGCTAATACTTTATCATGGAGTTGTGTGGGGTTGTGTGGTAAGTGCAAGAGACACTTCCAGGTCCTTGTCTCGGTTCAAGAAGCCAATATTTGTAATCCCAAAGTTACATTATTGGAATCCCATCAAGGTGATTCCAATCTACCACTTTCAATGCAACCCACAGCAAAAATAAAGACACTAAATTATATTTTCAATCATTGGGGAGTCGAGGGGCTCTAAGTCCAGCCACGAAGATGGCTTTCCAGAACCAAGAGACTGACCCAGGGCCTCACCTGGTTTTGTTTAGTGGAGGGGTGGCTGAGGATTGACTGAGAATTGTGGGAAGGAGACTACTATGAGCTGAGCTAGGTGGGTGGCCTAAATTTACCTCTGCCATATGCAGAGAGGATATGCAGAGAGAGTAATCTGCATTATACAGTATCTAATGTTTTGGGAAGTCCGGTGCTTCAGCTTTGGTGTAGCCTTTCAAGTCCCAGGAAGTCATAGCCTCTGTCTCAAGGCTCGATCCCAGCTGGCGCCGCAGAGCATTAGCTCTGCCGTCCTGTCTCAACCCGGCTCACATTAAAGAGCAGCAGGTATAGGTTACCAGAGAAACATACAGGCCACCTTCAAAGACTATCACCAGCACCTCAGCTAGACCAATACACATTGCTTAAGGCCAATTGAAGGATAAACAGAAGTCCTAGCCAGCTCTGTACATAACAATACAAGGAAATAAGGTCAGGCTCAGTCAAAATGGAGACAGTTGCTCTTCTTTCAAGGAGAGCTGCTCAGGTGGGCCTCCACAGTAAGGTCTCTTAATTTTCCTTAAAATGCATTTGTAATTATGGCAGTTGCTTAAAAAAGTAACAGTAGGGCTGGGGATGTAGCTCAGTGGTAGAGCATTTGCCTAGCATATATGAAGCCCTGGGTCCAATCTGTAGACAAACAAGCAAAATGAAAGAGTTATAGTGATTTCTTGAGAAAATCACAGCTATAACAAAATTACCTTTTAAGGTACAAGATCTAATGTGCTGCATGGGATGAAATCCTCTTCCTGTCTGTCATGAAATGTAGGTGGCTGCAGTGCAAATAGGCTTGCTTTGGCACCT